TTCAGTTTTCTATAGAGCTCTGTGAGTAGTAGGCGATATACAGCCAGTACTGTGGAGTCACAAATAAAGACTTCGTCACGCAACTCTGCGCACAACACGGAGAGCTCTGCGCCCTAACAAGTCAATTCTTTGGTTGGCGTCACGGGTTCAGTTTTCTATAGAGCTCTGTAGATATCAAGTCAATTCAATGTGAGTAGTAGGCGATACAGCCTGTACTGTGGAGTCACAAATAAAGACTTCGTCACGCAACTCTGCGCACGACAACACAACTCCGACAACACGGAGAGCTCTGCGACCTAACAAGTCAATTCGTTGGTTGGCGTCACGGGTTCAGTTTTCTATAGAGCTCTGTGAGTAGTAGGCAATACAGCCAGTACTGTGTCACAAATAAAGACTTCGTCACGCAACTCTGCGCACAACAACACGGAGAGCTCTGCGCCCTAACAAGTCAATTCGTTGGTTGGCGTCACAGTTCAGTTTTGCTTTCACCTCTTTGCGCTCAAAACAAGTCATTTCGTTGGTTGGCATCACAATGTTTCTTCATCCTTTTGTTTTCCATGTTTCTTATTGGTAGCATATCATAATTTGAGTTGGATGCATTTTTACAAGTCTATATACATTTTGTTCCACCAAGGAGGTTCTTCTTTTTTTTCAGTCCTAGTTTACGGTCAAACCCTTCTGAGAATATTGTCGTTTTTGACTTTGGTTGTTTTGAAGAAAAAAAAAAAGATCACTGGTGCTCAAAAACAAGAGACACGTAAGCCTCCGTACAAAAATAAAGTGTCGTTTATTCATTGTTGACCACACACACAGCTTTCCGCCACACACGAGCAGCGTCTGCGTACATAACAAGTCAATTCCGAGGTAGGCGTCAGAATAATTAGTATTTGAGACCTCTGTGGAGGGAGCTCCTGGCACAAACAAATCAATTTGTTGGTTCGCGTCACAAACTCAATAACTACATTAAGCTCTGCATAGCTACTCCATGGAGATGCTAGCACAGCCCTCTGTGATATACAGAGGTCTGCACAAAACTAGTCAATTCGTTGGTTCGCATCACATTGCTTTTTTTTGGTTAGACCTGTGTACATCAAGTAAATTCAATGTTTTATGTGTCATCAATTTTTCCCAATGGATCTATAGTCTACTGGGCTCCAACCGCGGCAATACAGAAAGTACGTTGTTACAGTCATTTCTTTACATAGTAAGTTGACCTATAACACTTTGGTATACAAGAACACTATTCAAAGAGACAACATCGTTTCTCCATACAAAACAAAGTTAACATGCTTTTGTAGTGTGATCGGTCAAGCAGTGTGCCACCCATTGTCCTGTATTTTACAACCAACATCCGTTCTAACCGAGACGGCCACCCTCGCACGAAACAAGTCATGCACAGTTATAAACTAGGTGTGAACGTGCCATAATCCAAAAGACAAAAGAGTGCAAAAACTTCAATGAGCGATTCAGAAAGGCCAAGATTTCAAAAGAGGAAAGTGCCATCCTGATCTCATGTTGTGTCGTCTAGACGCCCAGACAGTTCTGCATATAGAGGGCCAAATAGAGGGCCAAAGGAAAAGTAGTTCTACCAGAGTTTAACTAAAAAGCGACTTGGTCTTGTGCGCAAAGAGGTGGAATCAAAACGAAGCCATGACGCCAACCAATGAATTGAGCTGTTTCGGCGCAGAGCTATTGACTGCAAGCTTGAAACCGACGGAGGCCGACCTGTCAGAGCAGCAATACCACCTCTGCGGGCCGCTGGTACGTTACAAAGCCTAGTAGTCACATTGAACTGGCTTAAAATCCCCGGAGCTCTACACAAAACTGAACCTGTGTCGCCAGCCATGACGAATTGACTTGTTTTGAGCGTAGAGCGCAAAGAGGTGAAAGTAAAACTGAACGGTGACGCCAACCAACGAATTGACTTCATTTGGCGCAGAGCTCTCCGTGTGTCACAGACTGACGGAGAGTTGAGCGAGCAGTCCTGTGCAGAGTTGCGTGACGAAGTCTTTATTTGTGACTCCACAGTACTGGCTGTATATCGCCTACTACTCACATTGAATTAACTTGATATCTACAGAGCTCTATAGAAAACTGAACCCGTGACGCCAACCAACGAATTGGCTTGTTTTGGCGCAGAGCTCTGCGGGGGTATCGCGGAGGGCTGTACGAGCAACCTCCATGGAGGAGCTCTGCAGAGCTGAGGGCTGAACGAGCAACCTCCATGGAGGAGCTCTGCAGAGCTCCTCCATGGAGCTAGCTCGTGCAGGCCCTTCTCCAAGTGTGGCATTCGGCAGGCTGTCCAAGAGACTCTGGCAAGATCATGGCATCCGGCTCTCCACCAAGATTGCAGTGTACATAGCCGTGGTGCTGAGCA